AGCAGAAAGCATAGTCGGGGTTGAGGCTGATAAAGGAAGAAAGAGTAGAAATCCACTTCTGAATCCAGAGGATCTCCATGTAAGCTATTAAAATTAATCAGACGTGTTGACAAGATTGAAGGATAAAGGGGCAAATGTGACATTTCACAGAAACGATTAGGGTGAACATTATCTTATTCCCAACCACACAGGAAATGTTTTCAATACTTCATTGTTGCTGTTGCTGTTTGCTGGAATTTATCGCTAAGTTTCTAAAATTTTCCCATCATTAATGGATGATGAATGTATCAAACTCTTTTTTTTGCATCCCTGATAAGTCAGTTTGATCATGATATGTTGTCCTCTTATATTATTATTGGACAGAGTATGACAACATTTTGTTTAGAATATTTATGTGTTTATTTATGATGAGATAGGCCTGTCACTTTCCAATCAAATAAAGTCTCTGGCAAACTAAAAATATAAAAGAAACCCACAACTTTTAATCAGGAATGAGTGAGCAGGAGGAAGGAGTCTTTAGAATTTTCACACGAGACCTAGTGACCAGATGGACCCTCAGGTCCCCAGAAAGCCATGGAATCTCCATGGATTTGGAAACCAGTGCCAGGCCAGATCCCCAACAGCATATGCATCCATGGAACTAAGGAATAGAACGAGATTGTGGAAGTGTCCGCTTCCACAGCTAAAAACGCCTAAGTAATACATCTGTTTTTGCAAATTGTCATTCCTAGATTCTCTCATTGATCTGCTTTTTCCTCACTGAGAGCCAGCAGGGAGGGCTTCACCAATCTTGCAACTTTATTTATTTTGCTCTTAAGTCCTTCAAATGATTGGATGAGGCCCACCTGCTTTCTGGAGGGTAATTGGCTTTCCTTAATCTACTAATTTAAATGTTAATCACATCCTCAAAATACCTTCACAGCAACATCTAGACTGCTATTTGACAATGGGGGGACCGTAGCCTGGCCGTATGGGCGTATAAAATGCATACAGGTAGCCCTGACCAGTGTGGCTCAGTTGGTTGGAACATTGTCCCTGAAACTCAAAAGTCATGGGTTCAATTCCCGATCAGGACACATGCCCAGGTTCTGGGTTTGGGGGGCTGGGTGAAAAAGGTGAAGGGATTAAATAGTACAGACGTGCAGGCACAGAATAGTCATCGGGATGTAAAGTACAGCACAGAAAATATAGTCAATTAAATTGTAGTAACTATGTATGGTGTCAGGTGGGTACTAGGCTTACGGGAGGATCACTTGGCAAGTTATATAAATGTCTAATCACTATGCCAAACACCTGAAAATAATATAATGTTGAATGTCACTGTCATTAAACAGTTTTAATAATACAGAATTATACACCTGAGACGTGCTTATGAAGCAAGGGTTACTAAGGCAAATGCCCACAGGCAAGGAGGCCCAGGTCCGTGTGGGGCGGTCCATGCAATGGGTCAGGACCTCATTAGGACGGCTCAGTGCCCTGTGGGTTGTTAAATAATTTGAGGGGCAGGGACATGGATGAGGGTCCCATGGATGTGAAAGGTGAAAGAGGTAAGACGGCTGAATGGGGCGAAGTGTGGAGGTAAATTCCATACTAAAGGGTGGGGTTTCTCAACCTGGGCACTGTTGGCTTTCAGAACTGGATCGTTTTTCGTTTTGTTTCGTTTTAAATCCTCACTGGAGGATATGTTTATTGATTTTAGAGAGAAAGGAATGGGGGGAAGGAGAGGAGGGAGCGAGAGAGCGAGCGAGCCATCAAATGAGAAATGTCGATTTTGTACGTGCCCCGACCAGGGATAGAACTCATGACCTAGGCATGAGCCCTGACTGGGGGTCGAACCTGCAGCCTTTTAGTGCACAGGACGACACTCCAACAAACGGAGCCACCTGGCCAGGACTGGAACTGGATAATTCTTTGTCAGGGGAGGATGTCCTGTGTCCTGGACACTACCCACTAGACACCCTAATCGACCCACCATATTATTTGTGACAAAATAGGTCTCAAGACATCCGCCAAATGCCCGCTAGGTGGCTGCATCTTGCCTGGGATAAAACCACAGCTCTCAATCAGGGAATCTAAAAGTTGAGCTGCAGACAGGAATGGGGCGGCTCCGCGCGTTGGGTGATGTCTTGCTAGGTGAACTGTTGCCAGTTCGATTCCTGGTCAGGGCACGTGCCTGGGTTGTGGGTTTGGTCCCTGGTCTGGATATGTACAAGAGGGAGCTGATCTATGTTTTTCTCCCTCACTTCTTTCTAAAATAAATAAGTAAAATCTTTTTTTTTTTTTTTTTTTTAAATTGAGCTCCATCAGGATCTCATGCTTGAGGTACGGGGAGATGAGGGGTATAAACAGAATCCTGGGCCCCTCCAGAGTTCTGGTTTAGGTGGTCTGGGAACCCTGAGAATCTCCTGCTCCAAGTAACCCACATTTCTTTTTCTTTTTCCTGTCCTTACTCTTTTTCATTTTTTTCTTTTTTCTATTTTTTTTTTAAAGATTTTATTTACTTATTTGTAGAGAGAGGGGAAGGAGGGAGAAGGAGGAGAGGAACATCACTGTGTGGTTGCCGCTCACGCACCCGCTACTGGGGACCTGGCGGGCAGCCCAGGCCTGTGCCCTGACAGGGAATCAAACCAGGGACCCTTTGGTTTACAGGCTGGCACTTAGTCCACTGAGCCACACCAGCCAGGGCTAATTTTTTCTTTTTATTGATTTTTATAGAGAGAAGGAAAGAGATACCGATTTGTTGTTCCACTTATTCATGAATCCATTGGGTGATTCTCTTCTGTGCCTTGACCAAGGATCAAACCACAACCTTGGTGTGGGGATGAGGCGCTAACCAACTCAACTCTCTGAACAGGGCTTTTAAATTTTTTTGACTCCATTCACTGTGCAAAGAAGCATTGAAGTCATCAACAGAAGAGGAGTTAAGAGCCCCTTGGGACATTTTCATTTTTCTACCTTTAATCTCTAGGCAGTTTATGGGGAAACTATGACTCTACATTCCTGAATACAAACACCTCCTTTTGAATATTTTGACTTGCTTTACGGTGTGAATCTGCATGTGAATTTTTGTGGCAGTTCCTCGTGCTGCCGCTAGATGGTGGTGGAAGCCATCTAATAAAAGGGCCTTTGCAAGGCAGTTCCAGCAGCTAGACTCATCTTTCTAACCCCTGGGTTCTTTCCTGTTAAATCGAGTCCCCACAAATTAGACACTCTTCTGATATCTTAATTGTTGCTTTCATCATAATTGATGTTTTTAAAACTTTGATTTGATATTGATTTGTTTTCATGTATTTGGATACGTGTATAGTCATGAACCCACCGGCAAAATCAATGTAGTGGACACATCCATCACCCGCAAAAATGTCTTCACTTTTTTTTTTTTTAAGAAACAGAGGGAGAGAGACATTGATTTGTTATCCCACTTACTTATGCACTCATTGATTTTTTTTTTTTTTTTTTTTTTTTAGGATTTCATTTATTTTTATTTATTTTTAGAGAGCAGGGAAGGGAGGGAGAGAAGGAGAGAAACATCAGCGTGTGGTTGCCTCTCAAGCACTACTGGGGACTTGGTCTGCAGCCCAGGCCTGTGCCCTGACTGGGAATGGAACTGGTGACCTTTCGGTTCGCAGGCTGGAGTTCAATCCTCTGAGCCACACCAGCCACGGCCATTGATTGATTTTTGTATGTGCCCTGACCAGAGATTGAACCCACAACCTTGTTGTATTGGGACAACTTTCTAACCAACTGAGGTCCCTGGCCAGGCTTTTTTATGGCCAAAAAGTCTGTGTGTTTGTGTGTATGTGTAAAGTGTATATATGTTGTAAATGTGAGATAATTTTCTACCTCCAGATGGTATTGTTAAAATTAATTTAAAGGCAAATGCTTGTAAGAATTGAATATTCTAAAATTCTCACAAATATAGATACTAATTCAAATGCTTTTCAAGTTCACATGACCTAAGATTACTCTTTATTACATAAAAGGGAGTTTACGTGTATTGGTTTAAGTTTTTAAAAAAAGATATGGGTAAGTTTATTATCGTGTTCCTTGACATCTGCCAAAGTGTGCGGCCAGGCTGCGTCGTTAGGGCCATGTGGTGTCTCGTGTCTGTCTGCCTCCTGAAGTCCCACTCCTGGGAGAAGCCTCAGCCTCCAGAGAAGCTGCAGGTGTGTTCAGAAGGGCACGTTCCCAGGAAGAGTGAGAGAGATTTGGAGCCCCAGCCGGTAACACCACATGCGCTGATTTGTCTCTCGGTCCTTCCTGTTCTGGCTTCAGGGAAATAGGACGGTTGCTGCTGAGATAGGTGCCATTGTGTGTCGCTTCTGTACCTAAAGAGGAAAAGAGAAGGGGAAAGAAAGATCAAAGAAGCCAGTTTATACACACAACGTAGAAGTCAACCCTTACCCACGTTTTTTCATCCACCATGGAAGCTTCAGCAGAACACACCTGAGGATTCATTTCTCTACTAACTCAGTTGTACCTTACGCAAAAGTTTACTGCCCTGGCTGGGTGGCTCAGTTGGTTGGAGCGTCATCCTGTGTAACTAAGGGTTGTGGGTTAGATTCGTCAGGGCACACACCTAGGCTGTGGGTTTGATTGCATGTTGGAGGCAACTGATTGATCTCTCTCTCTCTCTCTCTCTCTCTCTCTCTCTCCCTCCCTCCCCCCCCTTCCTCTATCTCTAAAACCAATAAACACATGCTCAGGTGAGGATTAAAAAAGAAAAGTTTATTGTTTACTATGTAACAGTCACTGGGAAGATACTATTGAACAAAAAATTCACATGCTAGCCCTGACTGGTGCGGCTCAGTGGACTGAGCGCCAGCCTGCGAACCAAAGGGTCACTGTTTCGATTCCCAGGCAGGGCACACACCTGGGTTGCAGACGAGGTCCCCAGTTAGGGGCGCATGAGAGGCAACCGTTTAGCTCCCTTTCTTTCTCTCGCCCTTCCCCTCTCTCTAAAAATAAATTAATTAAAAATAAAAATTAAATTCACATTCTCATGGGTCTTCGGGACTGGAAGCGGGGATGGAAGTAGGCAGCGGGAGGTCTTGGGCAGAAGAGTCGTCAAGGACTGTGGCCGATTCCTCGTCTTGTTTCTGTTCTGAAGGCTCATCGGGTTTTTTTCTTCTCCCGGCACGGAACCTGGATCTTTGATTTTGAAACCAAATCTAAGCGGGTAAAACAAGGAGAATTCTTTAAAGCCACTTTCATGCGAGCCTCACCATTGCTTCCCTTCCCCCGCCCCCAGGAGGCTAAGGGGAGACAGAGGTGGTTCATTTTAGGCCCAATCCCCAAATCATTGACATCCTGTGTGACATCTAGGAAGGTCTAGTAGGTCTGAAGATAAAGTTCAAAATTCTGGCCCCAGCCAGTGTGGCTCAATTGGTTGGATGTCATGCCGCAAGGTGGGGTCACCATTCCGATTCCTGGCGGGGGCACATGCTTGGGTTGGGGGTTCAATCCCTGATCTGGGTGCATAGGCAACTGATGTTTCTCTCACACATCAATGTTTCTCTCCCTCTTTTTCTCCCTCCCTTCCTCTCTCTAAAAAAATAAAATCTTCAGAGAATAAATTGTTTTAAGCCTCCCCCTGCCCCGAAAAAAATTCTGAATCTCATTCCTCGTACCTTCCCAACCTCGCGGTGAGTTTTGTATCCTGAAAGTCCACTTGATCCCCTCATTACCAGTGCTGGTCTAGCCCTGGCTGTGTGGCTCAGTGGATTGAGTGCCAGCCTGCAAACTGAAAGGTCACTGGCTCGATTTCTGGTCAGGGCACAGGCCTGGGTTGCGGGCCAGGTCCCAGGTTGGGGGCACGCAAGAGGCAACCGATCGATGTTTTTCTCCCTCCCTTTCTTCCTCCTTTACCCTCTTTCTAAAAATAAATAAATAAAACCTTTAAAAAAACAAAAAACAAGTGCTGGTTTGTCTGTAAAGTACCATGTCCATATGTCAGCTCTTCCCTTTGCCTGGAATTTTTTTTCCATCTTGTCAAAAATGCCTGTTTTTCTAAGAAGACATTTTTCATCCCGTAAGACATATTTGTTACTGCTTTTTGCTTGCACCCATAAATTACACATATGCATGCATGTTAGATGTGTATATTATATATACGCATACATAATTTTATAAACACTCATGTATACATTGCACATACACACCCTCTCCACCACTGACAGAATTATATTCCATTTTACAATTCAGCAGCAGTGAAGCCTTAGGCAGGCTGCTACCTTTCTGAGCTAAATCTTTTCGGTTGTTATTTTCATTGTTGTTTTTCTTTTCCTTTTCTTTTTTAGATTACTTTGAATTCACTATAATTTTTTAAATCTGTTTTTAATTATAGTTAACATACAATATTCTATTCGTTTCAGGTGTACAATAGAGTGGTTCAACGTTTATACCTGACAAAGCGATCACTTCAATAAGTCACCGGTCATCGCACATAGGTGTTGCTATGTTATTGACTATACTTCCTGAGCGGTGCTTTACCTCCCTGAGACCGTGTTGTACCTGAAGGCTCGTACTTCACGGTCTTCCCTTTTCCTGCCCATCTTCCACCCCGCCCCCTACCCCCCGCAACCATTAGTTTGTTCTCTGAATCTATGAATTTCTCTTCATTGGCTGTTTTTAAAAAAGATTTTATTTATTTATTTTGAGAGAGACAGGAAGGGAGGGAGAAAGAGGAAGAAAAACATTGATCGGTTGCCTTTCTCAGGTCTGCAACTGGGGACCTGGGCGGTAACCGAGGCATGTGCCCTGATCCCAAATCAAACCGGTGACCTTTCGGTTCACAGGCAGGTGCTCAATCCACTGAGCCACACCAGCCAGGGCCATTTGCCATATTTTAGATGTAAACTAAACATTAACTCTCTAACGTAGACATAGGAATAATTAGAAAAGCTGAAGAATATGATAGAAAAACCTCAGCCAAGTGCCTGACGCATAGTCAGTGTAAAGTAACATTCCACCCTTCATTCGTTTGCCAGTTCTTTTTTTCAGTGATCCCCGGAGGATATGTTCATTGATCTCAGAGTGAGAAAGAGAGAGAGAAACATTAACCTGTTGCCTCCTGTATGTGCCCTGACCGGGAATCAAACCTGCAACACAGGCATGTGCCCTGACCAGGAACTGAACCCACAACCTTACAACCTTTGGATGTGTAGTACCACGCTCCAACCAGCTCAGCCACCTGGCCAGTGTTCAGCCAATTCTTAATGAGTGTCAGCGTTGAGAACACAGACGATACAACATTCTAACAGAAAAGAACTGAAAAGGGCGAGAGGGCGAGCCAGTGAGTTCCTGGAGGTAAAACCTACCGGGCGTCAGGCAGAAAGCGAGCTCAGGAAAGGCCCTGGAGGGGGAGTGTGCCGGGCTCAGGGCTGCTGTGGCTTCCCTTCCCATCCATCCCCATCCCTGGTAGACGGAGCCATCAAATTCTTCATCACTTACTTGGACTCTGGACTCTGGAACCCCGATTTCCTTAGCGAGTTGCTCTCTGGAATCAACCCGAGGGTAAGGGTTGCTCACAAATGCCGAGACGAGGGCGCGTAACTGGGAGGAAGTGTAAGTGGTCCGACGCCGTCTGTCGTCTTTGCCTAGGGTTGGGGTAAGACTGCAGAGATCAGTTCACAGATGCAGACGAGGAACCCAAACCTGTTACACCATCGCCATCTAATTTGGAGCCCGTTGCCTCTCCTTGAGAAGGCCCATTCCAGGAGGAAGGTTCCAGAAGAGACACAGTGTATGGTTGGGTTGCTAGAAAGAAGACAGGGACCAGGAGGCCCTGAGAGAGAGACCATTCTTTCTCCACTCTGAGTGCTAGTTGGCTCCACTACTAGACCTATGCACTTGGGTACCTTAGTGGCTCTGTTGGGAGCAGGGCTGGAACAGGCTATTTACCTTGACTGTTTTCCACAGGGTGACCTTCATCTTGGCTTGCTCGTAAGTCCTCCTTAGGTTCTGATTTTCTCTGGACTCGGTACCTAGCTCTTCGGTTCTGAAACCAAACCTAAGTGAGGAAAAGAGGATCAAATGTGTTATGTCATCTCAGCCCCATCACAACCTTCCTCTTTTTTAAACATTTTATTTATTGATTTGAGAGAGAGAGAGAAGAAGGGAGGGAGGAGGGGAGAGAGAAATAGAGAAAGAGAGAGAGGCATCGATTTGTTGTTACACTCATTTATGCATTCATTGGTTGATTCTTGTATGTGCCCTGACTGGGGATCAAACCTACAGCCTTGGAGTACAGGGAAGATGCTCTAACCCACTGAGATACCCAGCCAGGGCCATCACTGTCTTTCTCCAAAGGGAGCCATTCTTAAGGTCAGGATTACTACTGATGTCTGTCTCATTTGACTAAGTCTCAGGTCAAGGCTTGGTATTTAGCACATTCACAACCTGGTCCTGTCATGATTTGCTATAATAACCCTGTAAGCTAATAAAATAGATGCTGTGATGATTATTCATGTAAGAACCAAATCAAAGAACTTATTGGGTATAAAACAGAAAGCAACAAATGAACAAACTCATAGACACAAACAACAGTATGGACTTCTGGGCCAGGTGGAGGCATGGGTAAACACGCCTCGTCCCCTTGCACAACTACAGCAAAAATGACAGCTAGACTACAAAACAAATATCCCCCAGAAACCTCAGAAAAATCGAGCTGTATTGAAGTCCAACAACCAAGGGTTGAAAGCAGCCCCATTCATCCAGATGGGCAGGAGGTGTGGAGACATGGAGATGTGCGGAGAAGCACAGGAGGTGGGGAGGCACGGAGATGCAGGACAGGTGGCCCCACATCCACATGTGGTGGATAAAACTCACTAGGGATACCTTGGGAGCAAGGGATCCCAGCCCCAGACCAGACCGCCCAGGTAGCTCACTTGCTTAGAGCGTTGTCTGGATAAACCAAGGCTGTGGAGTATGAGAGGCAACTGATCGTTGTTTCTTTCTTTCCATCTCTCATCTATATGAGACACACACACACACCCCTCCTCGGGTGAGGATAAAAAGAATCAACAAACCAGTGAATGCATAAATAAATTGAACAACAAACTGATGTCTCTCTCCCTTCCTTCCTCTGGCTCGCTAAAAGCAATAAATAAAAATTTAGCAAAACAGCTCAAGCATTTCCTCTTATCTGAAGCTGTACCTACACACTCCCTCCCCCTCCTGTGAGCTCTTTCATCTTCAGTATTTACATTTGCAAAGTGAGACTGAAAGCAACATCCTTAGGAGTGTATTTTGCATGTCAATCAAGATACTCCACACAATGCCCTCGGCACACTGGCACGTAACATGTGCTTAGTTCATGGTCTTCTCCACCACGCTTTTTACTTCTTGTCTTGCAGATAACAAAGCTTGTAGGTTACCTGGATTCTAGACTCTTCAATGCCCATTTCTAAAGCAAGATTTTCCCTGGCAGTGTAATCCGGGTAAGGTGTTTCATTGAATGTTTTGATGAGGATTTTCAATTGATCATCTGTGAATCTGATGCGTTCTCGTCTACTTCTCATTGCTGTGAAAAGATTAGGTGAGAAGAATCATTTAATGAGTCAGTTTATACATTCAAACTTCAGGTTCAAGCTGGTGTCATTTCCTCTTTTCAAGTGGAATCCACCAGAATTTACTGGGAAAAAACTCTTATAAGCTTATAAAGCCCTTAAACACACAAGGCTGATTCTTAAACTTCTCCAGCTGATCTGAATGCCTTCACTGAGGAGTCAAGATCTTCTGTTTTCAAAAACCACAGGAAATTGTTGTGTTCTGTTCATACGGATCAGGAACAACATGAGTCAAGAAAATGCATGCAAACTCTAGCTGGGTAGCTTAGTTAATTGGAGTGTCATCTGGATATGCCATGGTTGCAGGTTCAATCCCCAGTCAGGGCACATACAAGAATACACCAACAAATGCATAAATAAACAACAAATCAATGTTTCTCTCTCTCCCCCTCTCTCTAAAATCAATAAACATATCTGGTGAGGATTTTAAAAATGCTGTCCTGGCTGGTGTGGCTCAGTGCATTGAGTGCTGGCCTCCAAACCAAAGGGTCATCAATTCGATTCCCAGTCAGGGCACATGCCTGGGTTGCAGGCCAGGTTCCCAGTTGGAGGTGTGCGAGAGGCAAGATGTATCTTGCACATCGATGTTTCTCTCTGTTTCTCCCTCCTTTCCCTTCTCTCTTAAAAATAAATAAATAAATAAAAATCTTTTTAAAAAATTAGAGGAAAAAAATTATTAAATTAAGATCAACTAATCTAAATAAAATACATTACACCAAAAATATTGTTGTTTATTATGGCAACTGTAATTGAAAACAATCGTTTAAAAAATAAAATACATAAAAAGAAAATGATTGGAATCCCCCTCCCCTCCACAAATTGCTATGCCTTTTTTTTTTAAATTTAGAGAGTCATAGAGGTAGAAGTGAGCCATAGAGAAGAAATGAGCTTAAGCAACAAGTTACAGCAAAAAGAAGGGAGCTTCTGGCTCGGGAGAGAGTCAAGGAAAAACATGCCCGGGGGAAGTGGGGTCGGGGAAGTTGCAGGCCTGCCTGTAGGGAGAGCCGCTACAAAACTGCTGTGTCTTCATTAAGGGTGCACTTATCCTCAACAGGCACATGTACCCAGAGGACACGTCACACACGGGCACGGATGGATGCCTATGGATACGGTGGAAACGAACAGGAGTGCTGAGGGAAACTAAGCGGATCAAGATAAAACCTATAGAAATCAGGTTGGCTTTGTTCAGACTTGAGGAGTATAATTAACTCAACTGTGTGTGACTGAGGACCAGATTAAAGAAAAAACCTGAAAACGGTTTCACTTTTTTTTCCCCTCCGGAATTATTCCTAGATCACTAATTCTCAATTGTTTGGCCTCAACATCCATTTGCAGTCTTTTAAAATTTAATAAGTACCCCGAAAACTGTGGTTTTTACCTTATTAAAAATTAAAACTGAGAACATTTATTAATGCCCTTCAAAATGTCAATAAACTAGTTATGTTTTAATAATAATAATATTTTAAAATCAGAAATGACTACTTTCTGAAACAAAAACAATTGCTGAGATAAGACACTGTTTCACATTTACGGAAAACTATTTGACATCCAGCTTAGAAGAGGCCTGGGTTCTTACCCTGCTTCTGGATTTAGTCTGTTGTGATATGTTCTTTTGGTGAAAAATATGAAGCAAATTCAGCCCCAGGCAGGTATGGAATTGTGTTTTAATAAACTTTCAGGTAATTGTAGCTATTCTCCTTTGAAAATTCACTAAAATGGCAAGTCTCTTCAACCTGTGTAAAAGCTAGTTGCCACGTGGCATCTGAAACCATTTCATGCTGTTATATTACAATGATTTGTTTCTCCTGCATCTTGAATAAACCACAATCATTAAATGTACCACTAATCATCAGAAAAATCTTTAAAGTATTGGGATATCGCCAAGCTAACAGTGGCAGGTCCACGTTTTCCAAAATTCTAATTTTCCTATGAAAACTTGAATTTTTCCACTTTTTCACCAGCAAACACCCACAGGACTACCAGGCAAATCCTGCTACGATGAACTAAAATACATTCATCTAATTTTAATTGTTCAAAAGTATTCCTAGAGTATAAATTATAAACCGGACCCCACGCACTGTGAAGAACATCGACAGGCGGTCCCTCACCTCATGGAGAGAAAGTCAAGAGATGAAAAGCAAACCAGTGAAATATATAGTATATCAGATGGTGACTATTTCCGGCGGTGGGGGTGGGGAGGGTGAAAGAGATAATAAAGGGTTAACAAAGAGGAAAAAAGAAAGAGAAAAAGTAGAGAATTCCTAGTGTAAGGTCACAATTTTTTAAATCCTCACCCGAAGACAGTTTATTGATTTTATGGGGTGGGAGCAGAGAGAGACATCGATGTGAGACGCATCGGCTGGCTGCCTCCCATATGCAACCCCACCGAGGATGAACCCGAAACCTTTTGGTGTAGGGGACCACGCTCCAACTAACTCCACAAGGCCGCAGTTTTTAAGTGAAGTAGTCCGAGAAGATCTCATTGAGAAAAGAGTTCACTGGGGTGATGAACACACAACACAATGCACAGATGATGTGCACCTGAAACCTGCATGATTTTGTTCACCCAATGAATTCACTAAAAAGAAAAAAAGAAAAGGAGTTGCGGAAAGACAGGAAGCCTGTCAGAAAGGGTGCAATATGGATATTTGGGAGAGGAAGATCACAGGCACTCCTTCCCTTTCTCTCTCTCTCTAAAAGCAATAATTTTTAAAAAAGACTTTCTGGTCTCTGAACTTTTTGATGCCTCCCACAGTTTCCTTCTTGGAGTGTGTCTTCTTGCCCACTCCTTTTCCCCATCCTCCTTCCTGTAACATCTTTGTGAAATTCCCAACGCTCAAGTGCATGGAAAACCGCCTATATTTCTATCACATGAGAGAAACGGGTTTTCCTTAACCCCAATACAGTAATTTAAAAGTTTGAGGAATGCAACTCCCATAGCTTCTGACAAGCCCACCCAATTTCCTCCCCAAGCCAAAGGAATGGAAAACATCCTCAGGTTCGTGTACTTACGATTTGAATTGTTTTGAGCCATGATGGAAGAGAGAAATCTTGACCTTCAATCAGGAAAGAGCAGCTTGATGGTGAGGCTGGTTTTATAAGACTAACCCCTCCCATTAATCATTAGTGGTGATCCTCATGTTCCACCTTTACTAATTCCATCATTTCTTAAAAGGAAATGATAGAATCCAAGAAGGACTAGATAGGTCTCCTTTTCTTCTATTAATAGAAATTTAATAATTTACACCATGTCAAATGAGAGGCTTCGAGAAACTGTAATGGTTTTTCCAGTTCTAAAATCTTATACCACTGTTATTTTATAATGCACAGACTGCAGGAATAGCCGACACGTCTTTGCAAGATCTTTATGTGACACTTTCATTTGTTGTTTATCATGAATAAATTCACTATTCTATGTAGAAAAATAAAATTTAAAAAAATTTAAGCCCTGGCTGACTAGCTCAGTTGGTTGGAATATTTGTCCCGTACACCAAATGGTTGTGGGTTCGATCCCCGGTAGGGGCATGTATAGGAGGCAACAGATTGATGTTTCTCTTTCACACTAATGTTTCTCTCCCTTCCTCTCTTTAAAATCAATAGACATATCCTCAGGTGAGGACATATATATGGCATCTAAAAGGCCAACTAGTGCAATGTTCAGGGAAAGAAAAAAGTGTAGAAATGGATCAAAATGATAAGGAGCAGTTCTAAGCTTGAGTAGCAACTGAAAATGATCAGCTATCTAACACTGATATTGTTAAAGCTGAATTGTCACTAAACTCAGAGTTAACTCTTTCAAATTCAGAGAAACTTTTTCTCGTGTGAGAAAAATAGTAAAGGGAAATGCTAGAATATCAGAATAATACATTTTAATAAATATGAGAATAATGATTTTTTTAAAACCTCCATTGTAGTTTCCAATTTCCGATAAAATAGAAATTATTTTAATAGAAATGCGTCTGTCACAGGACAAGATGCAGATTTTGGAGAATTTACTTTGCATAATGGCCAATAATTTTCAAAAGACTGGTATTTAAAAAAAAAATCAAGCTGCTTCATCATGACCAGCTTATTTACTGCAAAGAATTCTTGTGTTTGTTTTCCATGTGCAACTCAAACTTACCATTTCTTGAGAGTGAGATTTAAGTACTCCCCACCACACTTTACTTTTGAACTCTGTTTAAGTTTCTGATTTTTCTACTGTGTTATATATCACCGCTATAAATAAAAGTAAATAGAATTGAGAATGTACATATAAAATCTCCTAAAACTAAGAATAAGACATACAACCAAACAGAAAAATGAGCAAAATAGAGGAAGCCATTCATTCATACATTTCACATATATTTATTGGGTTTCATCAGATGATGACGTAAAAAATCAGGTTTTGGAGTAAAATATATACAGGGTCTGGCACAAATAATGCCCTTTTTATATTACAATATCTTTTATTACAAAATCATAAACGTGTAATTCTGCAACATAACAATATCACACTCAAGCACAACATATGACATTTTAGGTGAAATGTTCAAATTGCTTGTCCATCTCGTGCAAGACATTCACCTACCTTACCAACCACACTCAAGCCGGCGTTACTTCTGCCAGACCCTGTATGTGACGTTGTCATTATTCCGTAAACAATACAGTATGACAACTATTTACATTGCATTTACATTGAATTAGGTATAACAAGTAATCTAGAGATTTAGAGTATACAGGAGACATGCACAGGTTATATGCAAATACTCCACTATTTTAAATAAGATATTGAGCATCCTCAGGTTTTGGCATCTGCAGGGGAGCCTGGAATCAATCCCCCGAGGACACTGAGGGATGATTGTATTTATCATGTCTAATCAGATGATGACTGCTCAATTTTTCATTTTTAAAAAAAGATTTTATTTATTTATTTATTTTTAGAGAGAGGGGAAGGGAGTGAGAAAGAGAAG